CAGAACAACTCTATACTTAAGTGAATTAACGAAGAGCTTGTGTGTATTTTGAGATTTATCTCCATCACTGCTCTTAGAAATGAGGAGGTGAGAGCCAGCAACTCAGTAACTGGTTTATTTTTTTAATTTTTTTAAAATTTTTTTTGGAATTAACCTCCTTAGGGGCAGCTAGGTGGTGCAGTGGATAGAGCTCTGGCCTTGGAGTCAGGAGGACCTGAGTTAAATCCAGCCTCAGACACTTAAACACTTACTAGTTGTGTGACCCTGGGCAAGTTACTTAATCCTAATTGCCTCACCAAAAAAAAAATAAATAAATAACCTCCTTATCTTGCCCAAGCTAGAAAGGCAGAGGTTAGCATGGGAGCTTTGACCTGCCCTCCTTCCAACCTGAGGTGGCTTTTCTTTCCTTCCAAAGTCTGGTGGATCCCCACTCCTGAGAGCTCATCAAATTGGTGTAGACGTGGAGTGAGCACTGGATCAGGTCGACTTCAGCACTGCTGCAGCTCAGAACTCCTGAGCTTCAGTGATTCACCAGCCTCAGCAGCCTCTCCCAGCTGCTGGCACAGCAAGTGTGTACTAGCCAACTCAGTAACTTTTAACCATTGAAGGTTGGCACAAGTATGTCCACAGGCAATTACAACTACATGAAACTCAGGTACCATTTATGGAAACAGGGTTTCTGTTATTGTGGTTGCCTATTTGTTTCTTTTTTTTTCTTTTTCTTTTATTTTGGTGAGGGCAATTGTGATTAAGTGACTTGCCCAGAGTCACATAGCTAGTGAATGTTATGTGTCTGAGGTCAGATTTGAACTCAGGTCCTCCTGACTCCAGGGCCAGTGCTCTATCCACTGTGCCACCTAGCTGTCCCTGCCTATTTCTTTCTAACAAGTTTCTAAATCTTCTGTGAATCTTGTTTTCCCAACAATGCCTTTTTTTTCCCAGTGTGACTAATGGAACATTTGGGCAAATGAACATGAAGCTGGGCAGCATGATTATCCAGTGTCTTGGTCCATGACTTGTCACAGGTATTATTTTTTTTGGTAGTAATTTTATTTTTTTAATTAATTTATTTTGAATTATCAACCATCACTTCCATAAGCTCTTGAGTTTTAAATTTTTCTCCCCCTCCCTCACCACCTCCTTCACTACCTCGTTCCCCAAGATAGCACACAGTCTGATATAGGCTCTACATATACATTTGTATTAAACGTATTTTCACATTAGTCATGTTGTAAGTAAGAATTAGAACCAGGGGCAGCTAGGTAGTGCAGTAGATAGAGCACTAGCCCTGAAGTCAGGAGGACCTGAGTTCAAATCCAGCCTCAGACCAAACACTTGACACTTACTAGCTGTGTGACCCTAGGCAAGTCATTTAACCCCAGTTGCCAAAAAAAGGAAAAAAAAAATAAGTGGCTAAGAATTAGAACCAATAGGAGGAACCACCAGAAAGAGGAAACAAAACTCAACAGAAGAAAAAAAATAGCAAGTAGTATGCTTTGATCTGCAGTCAAACTCCATAATTCTTTCTCTCTTTTCCATCATGAGGCCTTTGGAGATGTCTTAGATCCTTGTACTGCTGAGAAGGGTTAAGTCTGTCAATATTACTCATCTTAGAACGTGGCTCTTACTGTGTACAATGTTTCTCCTGGTTCTGCTCACTTCACTCAGCATAAGACCACACAAGTCTTTCCAGGTTTTTCTGAAGTCAGCCTGTTCATCATTTCTTATAGCACAATAGTATTCCATTACATTCATGTACCACAACTTGTTCAGCCATTCCCCAATTAATGGGCATCCTCTCAATTTCCAATTTTCTGCCACACAGGTATTTCTTTAAGTATTTTTCCCCAATTATATGTAAAGATAATTTTTTAGCATTCATTTTTATAAAATTTTGAATTCTAAATTTCTCTCCCTTCTTCCCTCCCCTCTTCCTAAAATAGTAAGCAATTTGATATAGTTTATATATGTGCAGTCATATAAAACTTATTTCCATATTAGTCACAGTTGTGAAAGAAGAAACAGATCAAAAGAAAAAAAACTACGAGAAAAATAAAGTAAGTGAAAATAGTATACTTCAATCTGCATTCAGATCTTATCAGTTCTTTATCTGGATGTGGATTGCATTTTCCATCATGAGTCCTTTGAAACTGTCTTGGATCATTGTATTGTTGAGAAGAGCTAAGTCCTTCACAGTTGATCATCAAACAATGTTGCTGTTACTGTGAACAATGTTTTCCTGGTTCTGCTCATTTCACTTTGCATCAGTTCATTGTCACAGGTATGTCTGAACAATATCTGTGAGGAAGGAAGAGCTTCATCAATTAGATAACATTTCCCCCTTTTATTTCTATTTTAAAATTAATTTATTTTGATTTATCAATAATAACTTCCATATGCTTATAAGTTTTAAATTTTTCTCCCCGTCCCTTCCCCCTCCCTCCCCAAGATGGTGTGCTATAGGCTGTGTATATATATGTGTGTATATATATATCTTCCAATTAAACATATTTTCACATTAGTGATGTTGTAAGGAAGAATTAGAACCAATAGGAGGAACCATCAGAAAGAGGAAACAAAACAAAACAGAAGAAAAAAAATAGCAAATTGTATGCTTTGATCTGCGTTCAGACTTCAGAGTTCTCCCTCTGGATGTGGATAGCATTTTATATTATGAGTCCTTTGAATATGTCTTAGATCGTTGTATTACTGAGAAAGGCTAAGTCTATCAACGTTAGTCACTGCACAATGTGGCTATTATTGTATACAACAATCTCCTGGTTCTGCTCACTTCACTCAGTATCAGTCCATACAGTTTTTCTGAAGTCCAGCATTTCTTATAGCACAATAATATTCCATTCATACACCACAACTTGTTCAGCCATTCCTCAATTGATGGGCATTCCCTCAATTTCCAATTCTTTGCCACCACAAAAAGAGCTGCTATAAATATTTTTGTACATATGGGTCCTTTTCCCATTTGTATGATCTCTTTGGGATACAGCCCTAGAAGTGCTATTGCTGGGTCAAAGGGTATACACATTTTTGTAGCCCTTTGGGCATAGTTCCAAATTGCTCTCCAGAATGGTAGGATCATTTCACAACTCCACCAAGAATGCATTAGTGTTCCAATTTTCACACATTGGATAGCATTTTTAAAGCACCTGCTGTGTATTAGGCACCAATTCTGTTCATGAAAGGTACCTGTTTCAGCAGGGGTCCTGAACAGATGTACTCTACAATGCCCTAGAAACCTCAATTCTGAAAGCTCACTTTACCCCTAGACTTCATACACTAGAAGTGCTCTGTAGCCTTTGCAGTCCTTCCCTTTGATTGGCTAACTCCTCCCAGAATCCATTTTAAGCAGGATGGCAACGCCACCCATGTCTTCAATCCTCTCTAGGTGGTACTCCTAACTCTGCTCCCAGATTTTCCAACATTTCTACTTTCATTCTCATCCCCTCTCATTCTTCCCAGCTTCCTTTTATGATTCAAAAGCAAGCAAACAAGACAGTCCCTACTTTCAAAGAATTTACATTCTGATGGAGAAAGAGATGATAAGGAGGAGCTAGAAAGCTGTGAAGGTGGAAGGAGAGGGATCTCTTAAAGGAAATCTGAGATGGAGATAACTGCATCTGTGATGTTCATTTTAAGCCCATTTATTCATTTAAAATATGCTCTTGGGGCAGCTAGCTGGCACGGTGGATAGAGCACTGGCCCTGGAGTCCAGAGGACCTGAGTTCAAATCTGACCTTAGACACTTGACACTTACTAGCTGTGTGACCCTGGACAAGTCACTTTAACCCCATTGCCTAGCCAAAAAAAGAAAAAAAATTCTCTCTACCAGCGATCAATGTTGAGCTTCTACAATTCTTGGGGAGAAAAGTAATGGCCTTTTAGCTTCTGTTTCCCATGTGACTTTTCCTTAATGTGGCTTCTTTCTGACTTCAGGAATCTAAAATCCATTTACACTACAGAACTCTTTTTTTTCCTCTTTGTGTTAGATGAAAGAAATGCCATCTAATCAGGAGTAGGGTTTTTAGTCCTTTACACTATCGTTTTTTTTTCTTTTGCTTTTTGGTGAGGCAGTTGGAGTTAAGTGACTTGCCCAGGATCACACAGTTAGTGTCAAGTATCTGAGGCCAGATTTGAATTCAAGTCCTCCTGACCCCAGGGCCAGTGCTCTATGCAACCTATCTTCCCCGTTGTTAGTGCTTTAAAGAGCAAGCTCTGATCACCAGATCAGATCACCAGATCACTCTGATCATTCAGACTAGCAGTATGATATGGGATAAAAAAGACTGGATTTTGGGGGTACAAAAAACCTTGGTTCAAGCTTGGCTTAGATGTTTTCTAGTTCTATGAAAAGGGGCAGGTAGGTGGTACAGTGGATAGACCACTGGACCTGGAGTCAGGAAGACCTGAGTTCAAATCCTGCCTCAGACACCTACTAGCTGTGTGAGCATGGGCAAATCACTTCACCCTATTTGTCTCAATTTCCTGATCTGTGAAATGGACTGGGGAAGGAAATGGCAAACCATTCCTGTATCTCTACCAAGAAAACCCCAAAAGGGGTCAACAAAGAGTTGGAAATGGGATTAAGGAGGGAACCTAGAGGTCATGTAGTTCAACTCTCTCATTTTACAGATGAGGAAAGTGGAGCCTTGGGAGGTTGTGACTAGCCCAGAGTCATGTAGGTAGTAACCGGGAGAGGCAGGATTTGAACACAGCTTGCAACAACAACAACAACAAATTGTATCCCTAGTGATTAGCACCGTGGCTACAACACACTCATTCAGGGGCTCATTACCTCCCACCTGGACTATGGCAATAGCCTATTAGTCTACCTACTTCTACTCCCCTCCCCCCCCATCTCCCCTCTCTCCCATACTGCACCCCCCCAAACTTCACCCTTTACTCACAGCAGCGGTCAAATTCATATTCCTAAAGCACATACCGTGCTACACCCCTCCACCCCCCACCCCGCTGATTCCCTTACTCTCTATTGCTCTAGGATAATATACAAATGCCTGTTTTTCATGTAAAGCCTTTATAATCCGACTCCAACTTGTGTCCAACTTGTCAAATCACTCCCTCCACCAGCAGAATTGCAATCAAACTGGCCCCTGTTGTTTTCTCCTAGAAGATCATCTATCTCTTCCCGGTCTTTGCCCAGTCTGTCCCTATGCCGGTAATGTTCCCTCCCCTTTTTTTTACCATGGATTCTTGGAATTCCTAGCAGTGTTCAATGCCCAGCTCAGGTGCCATCTCCACTTCTGATCCCCAAAGCTGTTAGGGCTTTCTTTCCAAAATCGTTTTGTACAAATTTTATATTTTCTTATTTGTCCACATGCTCTATTCCTGCCCCGCCCCCCCAAACATTAAGCTTCTTTAGGGCCAAGACTGTATTGCCTTGTCTCCCAAGGGTGTAGTACAGTGCTTGGCATATAAGTGCATACTTGTTGAATTGAATTATCCAATCATATGCCAGTGCATGTAGGTTATAGGTGTTTGGGGTTAGGGAAGAAAAAGATTGTACCAAGTTCGATTGTGAGTGCTGTTTGATAACTTTTGGAAACCCTTGCCAAGGTAATCTTAGCTGAAATGTCCACTGTTTTCTTGGGGAGGAGAAGTGTGAAGTTTGCAAGGTGTAGGGGGTTAGAGAGGAGACTGGCAAGACGCAAAGCTAGCAGCAATCACTCAAGGGGAGTTTAGCTCGAGAATAAATGCTTTCTAAGGCCGCTTGCCCTTTTCATCCTCCCTCCCCCAGGGCCTTCTCAGCCGCTGGGGCTACCCTCTCACTTTGGATTCCTACAGCTAATTTCAGGAGGAGAGAGGTTTCCCCAGCCGTTCTGCAAACTGCCCGCCTCTCCGCCTTCCTCTCCGCCCCCTCCGCGCGGAGTCAGCCAGGCGCCGAGGGCAAGGCAAGGGCGGCGAACGAGTCAAGTTTGGGGACCTAGGGGAGAAGATGAGCGAGGGCCACAAGGCCACCCCGATCTGGAGGTAACTTTCAGCCAGCTGACTCCCTTGACCGCGGAGAGGCCTTTTCCTTATCCTGGGATGGGAGCAGAGTGGCCGGGAGGGGGGTTTGCAATCTGCACCCCAGTTCTTTAGGGAGACTCTCCTTTGGCACAGGAGGAGAGGGGCCGCAGGTACGACCGGTGTTGCTGGGATAGCTGCAGTTAGAGTTGCCCAGCTGGGGATGGGACGAGAAGGGAACTCTTGGGTGACCTCTCTCGTCTGGGGAGGGCTGGGGGGAAAGGGGTGGTGGCGGCAGTGGCCAGGGTGTCACTCCTCGTTTTGTTTTGCAGCCAAGTGCCAATACCCTGTGGGTGCGGGAGCAGGAGGCGACGGTGAGAAGGGACTCAGCAGTCACCCCAGCAGCGGCGGGGGCGATGCCTCAGAAAATGGATAAGTTTCTGCAGATCGCGCCTCATTCCCTAGCCATAGTCCTGAGCCAAGCAGGGGGGCCGATGGCGGTGAAGACTTCAGCCGTAGCGGAGCAGGGGGCCCCGGCCCCAGCTGGGGGGCAGCAGCAGCCTCAGCAGCGGCAGCAGCCGCCCCAGGGCAGGCAGCTAGCTCGTCACCACATCGGCTACGAGATCTTTGCAGACTTCAAAGCGGAGAATATGCAGCATTTCTGGAACAAGAAAGTGACGGCTGCCGTGGCCGAAACCTTCTTCCTGGGCTGGATCGACGAGCAGGTCCTGCTGATCCAGGGCAAAGAGGAGCACTTGGAGGCGCTTCGAGAGGGTTGGATGCGCCGGGCGCTCAAACCTCCCACTGGATTCCTCATCCGATGCCTGGGTGAGTCTGGGGGAAACCCAGCTGGGGGTCCCGAGGTGGTCTGAGCTGCGACAAGTGCTGGGCTAGAGGCTACAGGGCCCGGGAAGGAAGGGCGATCCGGTGCCTCGTGCCCGCTGGGTTCTCGCCTGCCCGAGGTCAAGCCGAGTGGTGGGGCTTGGGTGAAGCTCACAATTCAATTCGACAGTTGTGAAGCGCTTACTGTTTGCAGAACATCTTGTAAGGTGCTGGCGCCACTGGTGGTGGTGGTTCGCCAGGGAGGGCTGGCGTACAAAGTTTAGCCAAGATTTGGCCCCAGAAGTTTACATAAAGTCTGATTACAGGGATAAAGGCTAGTGGGATTCAGCACCGAGTTGGGGACTGGGAGATGAAAAAGTTTACCAATGACACGGTCTCTGGAGTTTACCTATATGGATGTGCAAGGGCCAGAAGTGTGTTCCTAGACCTCGGGGAGGTGTGTGTGTGTGTGTGTGTGTGTGTGTGTGTGGTGTGTGTGTATGTGCGTGTGTGTCGCGGGGGTTACAAAGTTTAGCAAAGACTATATGGTTCTGGAGTTTACTTGGAAAGTGTGTACTCAGCCCCGAGGTATGTGTGTGGTGTGGTGTGGTGTATCTGTGTCGAAAGTGTTTACAAAGTTTAGCCAAGACTATGGCTAAAGAAAGACTATGGATGTGTTTTCCCAGTGGTGTGTGTGTGTGTGTGTGTGTGTGTGTGTGTGTGCGCGCGCGCGTGTGTAGGGGGTTACAAAGTTTAGCCAAGACGATGGCCCTGGGGTTTACAACCTAGTCCAGGAAAAGGACGTACAAGTACAACAGCACACAGGATTCCATTCTACTTGAATTGCGGAGCCAAGCGCTTTGAGGTCCGAGGTGGGGAGAAGTCTATGACCCTGTATGTTGTGTTTACAAATGTACAAAGAGATGTGAGTGATCGCTGGTTCCAGTTGCTCGGAGCTGCCTCGTTGCCCTCTCCTGCTCCTGTACAGGGGTGGAGATTCCTGCTTTCTTTTCTCCTACTTCCTCACTCCTTCCTTCCGCTCCTACTGTGAACCGCTCTTTTCCCCCTCCCCCATCCCCAGAGCTTTGAAAGGTACTTTAGTTCTCTGAAGGAGGGGCTCCGGGCGGGAGTGTGGAACTCCTGGTCCCCAGGCTTAGGTTCCCCCAACCCCCAACTGTGCCGCAGGGCGTGCCTGCTCAGTCCAGGTATGGAACCACCCACCTGACTTGTCGCGACTCTGGCATTCTTGGGGATCTGTAAGGTTTTTCTTTCTAGGGGGTGTGCGCGCACCTGTGCGCTCCAAGACCCTATATTGTGGGGTGAGATTCAGGTGTAGCTCTGCCCGCCCTCTCCCTTTTGGGACAGCCCCATTATTTTGGCCACTTCACCCCCGGGGGCGGGGGACAGGGCGCTGCTGGGGCCTGACTTCTCCCACCTCCTTTTGGAAACGGGTTAAGCCACTCACTTGGTTCCTAAGCGCCGGTGTTTTCTATAGCTGACACAACAGAAAACTTCGTTCCGAAGGTATTCGACTCTAACCTATTCTATTTTAAGAGTTTCCTTTTGTATGTATTTGTATGTTAGGGTTTTGGGGGTGGGGTGGAGTGTTGGGATGGGGGAGGAAAGGAGAGAAACCTGAGCTTCACCTATTGAGAAAAAATGTAAAGAGGGAGGTTGTGGTAGTCCCAGGGACATTGCAAACACCGAGCTGTGTTGAGTTGTTTCTTGTTACTCTGCTTGACAATGTGCGAAAAAAACACATCCCAAATTTCCGGTTTTTTCATATAAAGATTTTTAGGTTTTATATTTTGTACTCAGGTCTCGAAACTTTAATAAGCAAGTTTAATAAAAACTTAAGTGGAGAGGTGTTTTTTATTTTTTTTTTAGGGAAGAACTCCTTCCCTCACAAGCAGGTGAAACGGACTTTCACTACTTTTGTAGAGTGTGGGGTCGAAAGTTCTGGGTTTTTCCTTTACCATCTGGGGCTTTACCGTACTTCTACCCCTTCATGGTCCGTGGTCCACGAGGACTGTATGGTGGCGCTGGTGATTTAAGTGTTTACTTACATATATACATATATATATTTTTTAAAAGATCACACCTCAGCTGAACAGAGAAGAAAAGCTAGTAAAACCTGTGTTAAATCTTCCCTGTAACCCATGCAGAATTATAAAAGTTGCCTGTTTTACAAACTTGGGCTCAGCAGAATTCTTAATTGAATCTCTGTAATTGAGCTGAAGTAATAGAAAAACTCACAGTAATGGTTTTTAAGCCCACTGGGTCCAGATAGTCTCAAGGTTAAAAAGTAAGGATAAGTGATCATAGAATTTTAGAACTAGAAGGAACTTTAGAGGAAGCTAGCTAGTTTAATGCACCACAGCAGGGGGTGCTTAACCTGGGGTCCTTGAACTTTTTTAAAAAAATATTTTGATAGCTCTGCTTTAATATAATTGCTTTCCTTTGTAATATTATATGTTTTATTTTAGACATTGAAAAATATTCTGAGAAGGGGTTTCAGAATGCCAAAAGGGTCTAGGAAACAAGCAAAAATTTAATTTCTTGCCCTTCAGCATGCATAGTTTCCTTCTAAAACTTTATAAACAAGTACTTCCTCTCTGCTAGTGATGGAGAGCTCCCTACTTGGTGAATCAACCAATTTGGTTTTTCCTAATTCTTAGGAAATTCTTCCTTATTTATATTGGACTGAATCTTCCCTGCTTCTAGTTCTTTATGGGTTTAAGCCAAATAATTGTATTCCACATGATAACTCTTCAGATGATTGCAAACAACCAGCATTGGACCCTTCTAAATCTTCTGTCTTCTAGACTAAATATCCTGAATTCTTTCAAACTATTCATAAGACATAATATTCATTGATTTCAGGCATATCCTCTGGATTTACTTCATTTTATCAATGCCCCCTCTAACATGTAGTATCCTGACAATACTCTAAATACAGTATGACCGGTTCAGAGGAAATGTTGTCTTTTTTGTTCTGGTCTCTTCAATTTAGCAAACATTTGTTATGAGGGGCACCTACTTTAGTAGATAGAGAGCTGGCTTTACAGTTAGGAAGACTTGGGTTCACCTTCTACTTCTAGCATTTACTGGCCATGTAATTCTGAGTAAGTCACTTAACATTCTTTAGTACTCTGGACACTGTAACTTGCAGAGTTACATGTATGGTAAAGGGATGTTCTACATCCTGAAATTCCATATAGCAATAAAATAAAAGACCAGTGGGCAGTGCCTAGTCCTTATTCCATAAATTTTTAAAGAGATTACTATGTAAAAGGCATATACTATAATAGATGCTGGAGAAAAAAGAAGGAAACAGTTCTATGTTGCAAAAAGTATTTGCAAGTGGAGGAATGTAACATATGTTGTCCTGATAAATTAATACAAATTAATTTCAGCAGAAAGATGATATTAACAACTAGGGAGAATCAAGAAAGAATTGTTGTAGAAGGTAAGCCTGGAAGGGTGCTAGGAACTCTAAATGGTAGAGGTTAGAAGGGAATTTATTTCAGGTAGGGGGATGTGGGTAGGTAAGGACTTCAAAGGCAGGAAAAGGGAGATGGTCTATTCTATTCAGAGAACAGCTAGAAGACATGAACAAAGTGTATGAAAAGGAGTGATAATTAAGTCTGGGAAGATAGATGGAAGCCAGATTGCCAGGCTATTATTAAATGAAGGTGGAGGAGTTTGCATTTTGTCTTACAAGGCACAAGAGGGCCAATGCAGATTTTTGAATAGGGGGGTAACATGGACAGAGTAGTGATTTAGGAATATTCACTTGGCAGCTATATGGAGGGTAGTTTGGGGAAGGGGAGAGAATAGAGGCTGTCATGGAGACATAGGTAGTAACTGAATGGAGAAGAGGGGAAAGAAGGAGGGGTTTTTTGGAAGCAAAATCAGTAACACAGCAACTGATTGGTTATGGGGCAGGATGTGGAAGAGGGAATCAAGAGTCAAGGATAATTTTGAGCTTTTGAATCTTGGTGACTTGAGATATTGGTCGTTCTCTCAATTGAAATAGGAGAAATTGGAGAACGGATGGGATTTGGGTGGAAAATAAATTCTGTTTTGCACATGTTGATCTTGCGATACTGAAAGAACAACTGGGGAAGGGGGTGAGATGATTCAGGGTGCAGCTGGTGTTATGGAACTGGAGTTCAGGAGAGTGATTAAGGATAGATATAGAGATCTGAGTCATCCCCAAGGAGATGACTGGACCTATAGGACCTGACGAGCTCACTGTGAAGAATAAAGAGAAAAAGAGGAGCTGGGATAGACCTTTAGGGCAACACAATATTAATGAGTGAGATATAGATGATGGTTCAGCAAGAGAGATTGAGAAGTAATTGTTAGAGTAGTGGCATAGATACTAGGGGAGAAGAGAGTGGAGTGACTGATGGTGCCCAAATATGCTCACAGATCCCTGAGAAAAAAACCATTGGATTTGGGAGTTAGAAGGAGCAATTTCAGGAGGTTAGAAATCATATTGAAATATAGATAGGTGGGCCAATCTCTCTCTCTCTCCCTCTCTTTAAGGTTTGCAAAGCATATCTCATTTGATCCTCACAGCAACCTTGTGAGGTCACTCAGTCAGTCAACTAATCAATAAACACTTATCAGTCTCCTACTATGTGCCAGGCACTGTGCTAAGAGATAGGCATTGTTAATTTTCCATGTAATCAGGGGACTCATGGATGAATCCAATCCTTATAAGCATCCTCTGCTGATGTAATTCCCATGTAGACTTCAGAGCAGATGGAGGTGTAATGCAGAACATTATTTTGCCATTTAGGTAGTAGGGCCCTTTAAGCCATGGAAAGCAAAAGTTGGTGCTTAATCGTGCCCCAGACCTCTTTCCTCCTAAATGTAAACAATAGTGACATGTACTCTTGCATAGCTCAGCATAGCCCATACCTCCAACGCAAATGGATAAGAAAGCTTGCAATATAATTGCTTTAGATAATTATGTTTATACCAGAGACCAGGAC